GTCGTCCATATGGATTAAGAGCTCCCCGATTGGTTTTCAGAATCATCATGAATCTGTGATTTTGTTCATGACAAGAAAAAAAAGAACTCACTTGCCTATCTCCTAATATCAATTGAGAAGTCATTGTCGTTGTGCCAACAACTATGGTCCCCGTTTTTAGTAACTTAATACGGAATGGATTCAGAAGTTTCTTATGACTCAACTCAGTGAACAAAGTATTTGTATCCATGGCAACACAATAATAAAATATTTTACTATATATAAATTGAGAAATTACTTTAGTGATTTGTGCTTATGTGTCACTCATTGGTGAAGTTTAGTATTAATTCTTAATTTGATTGATTGTTGGTATTTGAATTTTTAATTTACTTAAATCAAATTTTTAAAAGAAAACTAATCATTGAATTACCTAATCTTATCTATGTTACCAAATAAACAATCAAACATCTTAAATTTAAATGAATTACATATGTATTATTTAGATAATAATATAAAATTATATATAGTATAACTTAAAATAAAATAAAATTAATTTTAGATAACAAGCATATTTAAGATTTTCAATAAAAAATTCTGGTAAATTATTTCACGTTTTAAATGAATTATTTACAAAAAAATATATTTAAAAATATCTTTGCATGTTATATAAATATATAATTAAAAATAAAATACAATTTTTAATAATTTTAATTATTTTTCTATTGCATAGACGATGATATACAACTATATGTATTTATATAGTAAATTTTAAACATATTCTCCATATCAAAAAAAATTGTAGTTACTTTTTAATCAACAAATCCATTAAAACTTTATCGACTGTAAAATGGATAAATATTTTTATACATAGTTAAAAATAATCTGTTTAACAAACTTTGTAAAAAAATTTCTTTTGCATGTTATAGAAATAAATAAAAACAAAATAAATTAGTAACTAACAGAATAAGCATTCATTTTTTTATTTCAAACCATATCAATAAGATTAAGAACTGTGTGTCTAATTGTTTCGAGTTATCAGAATCATTTAATGAAAAATTGCTCATAATGTTTTTATTCTACCATCTAGAATTTATTTATATCATAATATGAAATTTCTTATAGTCTGTTAAATACGTACACTATTACTATGAATGCATATTAATGTATAAATTAATAGAAACTAAATTATGCATGTAAATATATTATTAGAAATTTATTAAGCTAATGAAAACTATATATATATATATATATATACATATTGTTTTGTTTCTTTTCATAATCTTTATATATACTTTAAGTTTCAAGTATGGATTTATTTGTCACGTCATTTTATATTATTAGATTTTAATAAATTTCAGATGAAAGTTTTGATCTGCAAACCAATTAATATATATACATATATATGGTCTGGATGTGAATGTTAAAATATAAAATTACATTTTAATGGATTAAAATTCTAATCAGTCATATATACTCATAAATAAATTAATGAAAATTAAAAATATCATTGATATTTAAAAAAAATCAAATAACTAAAATAAATAAAAGATCTAAAATCTGTTTATTTAAAACATATCTATCAAAAGTTTGCACTCAATTTAAAAAGCTAAAATATATTATAGCATTTGACAATTATAATAATAATACATTATAGTTTTAAAATTATTTGTACCTACAAATTTGTGGGCAACTAGTAGTGACTAAATTTTGTGATGAAGTTAGTACTTCGACGTCAGTCTGTATATAACGTGTGAACCAAATATTGCACTTCCATATTCAACTTAATTCGACGCTTGGTAATGTCAATCACGGAATACATCATAAAAATATGTAGATACTAATCAAACTGAAAATAAATACCAATCGTAGCTATTCTCTAATTAATACCCATCGCAGTGTGTTTGACAAATAAATTACTGAGAAATATTCTATTACCTTAAAACTGAAAGGTAATAAAGGTGATGAAGATAGTCGCATAATCTTCTCCAATCTTGCTTTGCCGATTTGCTTTCCAGATTTTAAGATTTTCTACGTGCCTAGTATACATAATGGTTTTTCCGAGTCCCTAGCTAATACTGCTCGATTTTTCTATCGAGATTTGGTGTATATTGGTTGTTTTATTCCGGTCTGGATTCCCAGACCACCTCAAGCTTGAATAATAGATTAGCCGTTCGTTGTCAAAAAAAAAAAAAAATCATCTCCAACCGTGTTAGCAATGTAGATTCCTTATTAGCATGCAATGATTGGAATAAAATCTTGATTATTGATAACTAAGTTTAAAGGTGATTTTTTTTTAATGCACAAAATTAATGGAGAACTACCGTTGATATATTCACAACAAAGCAAACTTATTTTCTAGTCATCACAATCAAGATGTGATCATTAACAATGCAGGAATATAAGATATGTGTCCCACAAATACTGCTTATAAATTGGCAGTGAAAAGTAAACTACTCTAACCAAGTTTCTAACGTAAAATCAAGAAAACAAACCCATCGATCAGCTGAATATGACAGAAATGGATAAAACAAGAGAAAACTCTCTAGCTAAAATGGCAGACATAGCTCTTTTGGCTAACCAAAAAAAGTTCTCCTCAGCCTGCCCTATTAACTGCTATTAATACCCTAAACCAAGTATGCCCCTAGAGCATCCATCTCCCTAATAATGAAGAAACAAAAGGATACACAAAGATCAAAACTTTGGAGACCAATAAGGGCAATCACACTATGAATAACAAAAGGAGACATATTGGGGAAGCTTATCACATTTGACAAAGGACCATCTCAAGAACTTGTCAATTAACTCAAATGGCCATTTCTTGTTGAACGAAAGAAGCAATCATACAACGCACAACTATTCAGGCAGTGAGTAAAAGTAAATCAATCAAGCTCTCTAAAACACCGTCTTAGATTCATGGAAAGCAAACACCGTCCTAGATTCATATGGTAGATACAATAATATGAATCCCAAACATTATGGGACACAAACAAACAAAAAGTATAATTTTTTTGTTCAATTAACACATGCAATGAAGAATGATTATCAATCCAGAGAAAAGGATTCGGTAGATCGATCAGCATACCTCTTATGAGGCTCCAGTGGTAAGAATAGAAAGGTGAAAGATCCAGAGAGGGTACAGATCTGAGAGGTGAAGAGGAGTCGCCGCCATGGACCCGGGAAAGCGCGAAGGACGTTGTGTTCGAAGATCTCTGCATCGGAGAAAAGAGCCTCCTTCCGGCTACTCACAGCATCTCTCTTGCTCAATGGAGGAAGATAAGCTTCTCATCTTCTCAATAAGAAGAACAAATGTGCTTCCTTCCAATAACCTGAATCAGAGAAGAATTGTGAGAGCTTCTCGATGAAATTAAGAAGAAGGAAGAGAGAGTCAATTCTTAATAAAGAGAAGAGAGAGAGACTCAACCTTTAACATACCCTTTGTATACGACCACCTAGAAATATAATGCAATTACTTTATAATAAAAAGTCTGTCCAGTGGCAATTTTAGTAAATTTCCTAGAGGGAAGTGAGCATTTTTAAAGGTGGTCTGAGAAGCTCTGTCTATCTGACACGTCAGCGAATGACACTTTTGTAAATATAGTACCATTCTAAGGTTTCTCTTTTTTTTTTTGCTTCCTTTTTAAATATATGGGATGTTATATTATTTCTTAAGAATCTAACATGTTCATAAAAGGTTACCACTATTTCATTAATTCTCTTATTGAATTGACAAAAAAAACTTTAGAAGAAAATTGCTCACAAAATATTGAAATTAAACAATGGAATTATAATATGATTTTTATTTTTTTTCTTTGATCAGTGTGTAAAATCCTTAAACATATGATAAACTGAAAATGGAGAAATGTAAAATTGGAAATTGGAAAATAATGATTTTTTATAGTATGATTAATTAGTTTAAAAGTGATTGGAGTTGTGTGGATGTGATGGTTTAAACCATATGTATAATTTCATAATTTTTCTTTTCATTTCTACAAAAAAATATATATATATGAAATTTGGTAATAAATATAAAAAGTAATTTATATTTTAATAACTTTTTTATGCTTCTTAAGAAACAATCAGACAAAATTAAAAAAAAAAAGAGAAAATTGATTGGATGATAATTAAAATAAATAAGAAAATGGATGTGAAAACCTTAAGAAAGAGAGTAAATTGAGAAAATTAGATATTTGTTACTATGGTTGAAGATGCAATTTTAAACTTTTCAAAAAGTGAGCCTCAAGACGTAAAACATTTTTAATAATAAAATTGGGTTTTTTTTTCTTCATAGGGGGATGAAATACACATGTCACCTAAAGAAAAATAAAATTGAATTTTTTTTTCTTTATAGGGGGATGAAATACGTGTCACCTAAATAAATTAGGTTATGTCGAAATTATATTTGGGCTTTTAGAAAAATTTCAGACCCATTGTTTAATCAGGTTTCTTTGTCTTCTAGCCATGATATCTCCAACAGGCCCATTGAAAAATCAGTCGACGGCGGTTTCAGAAATAGTAAAGCCGGCTCTGAGAATTTTGTTTTTGGGGCCTAACGATTTCCCCTAAAAAATCATTCTATGGATTTAGGGGCCTAAATTTGTTTTTGGGGGGTCTATATACATGTAATTTTTTCAAAAACATTTTGGGGGCCAAGATGTTTCATCCGGCTTTGCCCAACGCCGGCCCTGCGTAAACGAATGTAATGTTTCCCTCCTTGCTCCTTCTCGGGATCTGCAACAGTTTTCTGAGTCTCTTGCGTTTTTCAGCAATAAACATAAGCTCATATGTTTCTGGAACTGAATCAATCAAGAACCCCTTCGCAATGCTCTGGTCTCTCTGTGATGGCGAATCCTTGAAACGAAGATAGATCAAAGGATGAAATATGAGTTATCGGAGGCTTGATCTAGCAGGTAATTCAAACAGTTGTTTCGTTTGCTCCTGAGAATCTTGGTGGGTTTTTATGATTCCTAGCTAACTGTCTAGATCAGATCTATTGGCCGTATTCAATTTATTGACTGGTTTAGTCTGGCCATCGATCCGTCCTAAGTTCATAACGCCAGTACAACGTGATGGTGTGGATTGCAAAGTTTTAGAACCCAATCTTCCTGCATCAATAGTCTCCGAGTTGTACTTAGGAAAAGATAAGTAGTCATTGAATCTGACATGTAATATGTGTTCCCAGGGTTTGGAAATATCTTAAGGCAGCTACATGTTGCAAGTCTCTGGTTATTGTCTACAACGGTATGGTTGCTAGATCTCGAGAAGATAACAATGCCGTCGTAGTAAAAACTGATAAGCTGGTCAAAGGATCGGGTTACCAAGGCTTAATGAAATCTAAAGCAGGTAAGTGGTACCAATTTCTGTTTTATATTTCTGCTAAAAATATGCAGTTACCTAACTAGAGCAAAAAATGGTTGTTTTGTCAGGAAGTTCCTTGGCAAGTCTTTCTCTCTATTCTGGGAGATCATAGCTACAATTTCTACATGCAAATACACAGGTTTATGGAGGATTGAGTCTTGTATTTCACAGGTTGTTGAATTAATAACACTTTGTCAACTGTGTGACAAGATATATTAGTTTTCTCTCTGCTAGGCGGTGATTTTGCAGCCGCTTGGTGATAAAAGAATCACGTTATTGGTGGAAACGCGATTAAATGTTTCAAGTCTTCAGACCAGGTTAGGAAAATTTTCAGTTCTATATATTGTTTGTAGCTTAGAAAAACTAACAGGACAACTAAAAGAGTTGGCTTGCTCATTATGTCTAGGTTTACATTTCTTAATTTGAGAGAAGCTAGATGCAACACTGGGGAGGTGTTTTGTTGGTTCAGCTTATATTTCTCAAGAAACAGATCGCAATAAGTAACATCGATCAGTTCAAATAACTTATCATTGCGTGATCATGTGGTTACAAGAAGTGGAAATGTAAAAATAGCTTCAAGAAGTCATCAACCAAACACTTATACATCAATGTAGAGTTCACATATTTTTCAAGATAAACCAGTAATCTTCTTCACAGGATAAACTTCGCAGTGTTGTCTCAGTGTAGAGAGGCGTTTCGTTTGTGGCTGCCATTTTTTGTGATCGAGAGACTAACAAATCAGTGGACATTACACTGAATGATGTCTCTAGACTGGTTTATGCCATATCTGGTTTCTGAGATGCAAGAACTGGTGTATCCAATGTATGTGATATTACGAGGATTACCTGATACAGAACAAAGTTTATAGGAGGGCAAAAATGGCTTATCATAGATGTTTGTATTATTTTCAGGTTTGAGCTTCGCCTATACGTAGATTTTATTTATGCTCGCATAATCTCTGACTCACAATTTTAGAAAAGGTTGTGATGTGTGATTATTATGATAGAAAACCTATCGAAAAAAGGAAGAGAGCCTCATCACACCTTAATATAGGCACGCATATTTTTATCTTGATAGGTTTGCAAGTAGAGATTTCAAAAATTTGTTCTCATGTTACTCTCTTTTGGCAATATCTATTTAGGTCACTTGACCAAATGCCTTCTCTTTTTGTTTGAAGGAACTTGAGAAAACTCAGAGAAGCCTGAGCTTCTGAAGTTAATTGATGAGGCATAACAAAATACACGTGCAAAAGACTAGGAGGAGAGGGTTCACAAAAAAAAATTGCAGCAAAAGAGAGGGAGGGAGGTAGAGAGTTCACCTCATGGTTTGTTAGGAACTCTGTGAGGTCCACTAAAAACACCAAAATAGAAGAAAATTTCAAAATGAATAAGTTTCCTTTTTTTGATTAAAAATTAACAAGTTTCTTAGTAGGTTTTTACCAAAAAAAAAATAGTTTTAAAGTAAGTAAAATGAGCTAACTCTTTTAGCACATCAATTATATTATTTAAAATATTCTTTTGGGTCAGTTTTTACATGATTAGTGCGTATGGTGATACGGCTGCTTATGCCTTCCTTCGATTTGGATGAAGAAAGTAGGTTTGGAACTTCACTTTTATACACGTCTCTTATTCATGCGTACTTTGTTAGCAGTTAAAGCTAGGATGAAAGGTAAGAGACGAGTTCCGAAACTACAAGATGAACGAACATCATATAAAAAGGCGAGAACCTTACTATTTTCAATTAACACCTCCACTACAAACCATTATTGAATGATGCACATGTGTGCATGTAGATATAACCAAATATGAAAAATATATGATTAATAATATACACTAATGTATTGAAAAGGAAAATTGAAGAACAGAGTGAGATTTGATTAACTTTTCAAATTCTCTTTTGCTAATTACAGTTTAAAGAAGCATTGGCTGCATGTTACATCTTACATGTTATGTGTGTGACCAAGAATTTGCAAATTTTAATCAAAAAATTATAAACTTTCCGCGCGAAGCGCGGACAAACCACTAGTAAGTTATAAAGTGTCTAAGAATATAAACCTATCTTCTCACTAAGTTAATGTAGGAATTGAGTGGTTTACACTAGAAACGTTGAAATTAAATAGGCATGGTAAATATGAACTTGATGGATTTTTGTAGAAACTATAGATTTTTTCCGAGTTATGCCTGGATTTTTTCCCCTATATTTTAATTTTGTTTATTTTATTATCGAGTATATTTAACTACTTATTCTATACTTAGACTAAATAATCTATAGAAACTATTTAAAAAATTAAAAAATTTGTATTGTTTTTGGTGACTAAAATTATAAAATTATTAAAATTCATTTTTTCTTTCAATATCAAAATACATATAAGTTGGTAACCAACTGAATAAAAAGTTTTATTTCAAATTCAGTTATTCTTTTAACTTGTTTATTTGAATTTTATGAAAATGTTGTTAAATTAATATATAATTCAAATATTTTTAACGTTAAAATCAACCATTATATATTTTTAAATTTTAATATTTATTATTTATTATTTGGTGATAAGAAAACCTATATGAATTCTTTCTTAAGTGTTAAGACAGTGAAAAAATGAACAACAATTAAAATCTAAAAGTGATGCACTTAAAAAGAATCCTGAAATTATGTCAAATACTTTTGTTTCTATTAATCAAACAAAGAGTATGAAGCTACCCTTAAATTACATAATTTTTAGATAAATAAAATATTTTACACTTATATAAGAACATGAATTGTGTATGTTTATAACCTTCGACTTTAAACTATTAAATTGGTAGAAGATTTAAAAAATTGTATGTATGTGTATTCATTGTCTTGTGTCTAACATATTCAAAAATAATTTAAACTCACAGTTTGTTATTTTTTATTACTGGAAATCATATATAGAATAATAAGTAAGATGAGTGAAAACTAACTTATCATTGTTCAAACCAAGCCAAACTAAAGAACAAAATTTTAAACAAACCATTATCAAAATTTGATTTTTAAATCATATAAACCAAATGACTCTGTTTGTTTTTGTTGTTGAACAAATGACTCTCTAAATTAAAAATCTCGGCCTCGTCTCAAGGATTTTAGTCTTTTCTCTTATGTTGGTTTACAGCTTTAAGGATTTTTTTTGTCATAATAACTCTATGTGACTGGATTAATATTCTATTTTGGAGCTGAATGGGATTAGCAAATCTGAGGAAGTTGCAGGCCAAAGAAAAAATTAGACAAACACTTGCACATGCTATGTTGTTTTCAAACAGTCGGCTATAGACCAAGTTGCTTGCAGCCTCATTACAGAAAACACCATTTTAAGTTACAATCCTAAATCAATTACGATGATTTGAAAATGGAAACAAATATTCTCTCACAACATATAAGTTAATATGTTTTACTGAATGAATGTTCAAGAGGAGCAGCGATGAACCAAAGAACATCGCTTGGTATGTTAGAATATTTTTTGATATATATTATTTAGACATTGTTTGTTAACATAAATTAATTTTTAATGTTTAAAAAGAAGGGCTCAATAGATATATTATTTATTATAAATAATATTTAATAATCATTCATTTAGTGAAAACATTACAAAGCATTCCAAGAATTCAGGTTATTGAGCTTTCCACATTTAGCAATAAACTTGTTGAATAATAAAAAAAAAAAAGCAAGGATCAGAGCTTTCCCAGGTCAAGGGTTGTTTCTTGTCCACCAAGGATCCTTCTTTCCATTCCACGATGGAGCTACCAGTTACTGTACGAATACTCAGAGCTTCACCCTTGGTACCAATCTGCTTGAATCACACAAAGAAAACACATTGTTATGATTGTTGGTAAGATGCAGAAGCATCAAAGTCAAGTTATTTGTTCTTGAATTTCACTAGGACCTTGTAAGACAATTTCCATTTAGACATGTCCCATGTTCCAGAGTTAACTCCCTCCAATGTTACTGGGACAAGAACACCAGTACTCCTAGTCTCATAATGCAAGCCAACGTTCTGTGAGCAATACATGAAGGCCACACTCAGATTGTAATCAGACAAAAAGAGCAGAGAGACTATATAACTCATCAAGGGAACTAACCGGGAGAAACTGATGCAATCCTGAGCAGCAGCAAGTATAAGGACAAGAAGGTCTGGTTTAGATCAAAAGTAACAGAAACTGTTGCACAATCTGTGGGAGTTCTTATTAACCTTATTGGGCTCATTCATGAAGTTTTAGACAGAGAAAAGATACTGGTTTGGTTGCTGGACGTGTTGGGATTCTAAATTGGTATTTGGGCTTGTGTTTGATCAGAATATTGAGTAAGAAGAGTGAAGAAGAAGCCTTGGACGAAAATTAGAAGAAGAGCTGCAACCAACATTGTCCCAACCACTTACATTTATTGCCTTGTCTGTTTTGTGTTTTCTATGCTGTTCATGCAGCATGTCTTCTGTTTTCTATGCTGTTCATGCAGCAGTCTTATGTTTTCTATTTAAGTGTGTTGAGTCTGTACCAGAAGTTTCAATCATCATTTTATCAAAAACTCTTTTCTCTTTGGTGATTCATTTGTTCTTAGAACAACTTGATTGTGGAGGTGTGTGAACCCAAAACAATCAACAAGCTCTCAATCTAACTGGTGTGTCAAATCCAGAGTGAGAGAGTGAGGAATCTGAGGTCTTTTCCGCAACCCTCAGTGTTTCAATCTATCAAATCCCTTCAACCCATCTATCCATAAACCCTAATTCGTCCATCAAGCCAATATCCATCAAAAACCATCTTTCAATCTGTTAGAGAGTAGATCCAACCAAAATCAGAGTGGAAATCCTTGGGAAAAAAGTCATTAGACCTTGTAAGACAATTTCCATTCAGACATGTCCCATGTTCCAGAGTTAACTCCCTCCAATGTTACTGGGCCAAGAACACCAGTACTCCTAGTCTCATAATGCAAGCCAACGTTCTGTGAGCAATACATGAAGGCCACGCTCAGATTGTAATCAGACAAAATGAGCAGAGAGACTATATAACTCATCAAGAGAAATAACCGGGAGACCCACTGCTGTACTTAACAGAGAAAGTTTGTTGACTCCTGCAGCTAACCTGATCTTTTGACTAAATTTTAGCTTTGAGTTTGCCAGTGATCCGTAAGTAGTTCCTGAACATAATTTTTCTTTTAACAGAAGACAAAGACAAGCTACCATGGGGATGTCTTTGGCCTATCGGAATCGTACCTGCAAGCTGGCCATTAACGAATACACTAAGAGCATGCCCAGCTGACTCAATATAACTACAACAGCACAAATTCTGGTTACATCACAACACAAAAATTACATTTAAAAAAAAAGTAATAAACAAAGAAAACCTGTAAACTGAGGCGCCACGGTGTCGAGAGTGAGCTTAGAAAATGTCAGCAGCAGGTCTATATTGCTCGAGAACAGGCTCCATTGACGCTCTTATAAGCTCCGAAACTTCCTAAACAAATGGAAACGAAACAATGGTTACATTTCTCTCAATTCAATGATCTTGACAAAAATAACAAAGGGAAGCTAACATACCTCGTCGACATAAGGCCAGATCTTTGTCAAGTGATGTTTCAGCAAGTCAACTGAAGTACACAAAACGGCAAATCAACTGAGATCAGTAATGCTGAGTTAGCGAAGTGAAAGTAGAGTGATGAGAGATGGGCATATATACATCAGCTCCACCGATCAGCTCGGTTCTGGTGTCACAAGTCTTTCTTAAAGTGAAGAAATCTTTCTGTCCACAAACCTCACACCTTGCAGTTAGCTTCATCACAGAATCAGCTAAAGGTATTATGTCAAGAACAGCTCCAAAGCTCCTTCTGCATTTTTTCCCACGAAAGGATCATATTCAAGTTACAGTCAAACAATAATTGTCAAATCACATCTTTTTGAAACAGAATCAAGCACCTTAAATAGTCACCATCAACCACTGCAAGAATAGTTTTGCCATCATCATCAGCAACTTTGCAGCAAAACTCATAAAGATCTCCAAAGAACTGAGCTTCGTCAATGCCAATCACATCAAGCTGACAATCATTTCAAGCGAAAAAAGCACAAACTTTCAATACAGATCATTGCACAATAAGACCAAAACATAAAGAAACCGTAGACTTTACCTTGGCATAAGCATCGTGTCCGAATATGTCTGGAAAGGACATAAGATTCAGAAGAGCCCAACAAGGGAATCCAATTCCATCATGCATCACCATCGAATCTTTAGCGTATCTCGTATCTTTACTCGATTCACCATCGCAACACTTCTACACAACCAAAAGAGGAAAGAACTTTACAAACTAAGATCACTGAATCTGTTAGAGATGGTTATAGTTGTTTTACTTTCCGACGCTTATCTCCAACTTGATACGGCGGAGGAGAAAGGTCGATTTCTCAGAAAACATAGGACCCATGATAACATGAATAGCACAAGACCCATGATGTTCTTGATCGGAGATAACATCTCTAGAGATGCCACTGTCGAGAGTCGCCATGGAAGAGAAGAGTAATGGTGAAGTTAGTGGTGAAGTAATCATTGAAACGGATTTGGGAGGAGTAATGGAAGATGTGGGAGGCGAAAGGTAAGAGAAGAAGGAAATTAGGGTTACCAAATGAAGTATACGCATCAGAAAGTAGCACAGAGAAATGGTACCAAAGCCCAGCCGCTTGCATACGAAGCCCAGTTAAAAATACAAATACACATGAAGCCGAACGTACATGTAGACTCTCAAACCCGTATGACGTGTTTTAATGAAATGTTGTGATTGGAGAAATTAATTAAGTGACGTGGACAGGCTACAATCTCTCTTTATCTTTTATTTATAGTAGAATGTATAACAAAATAAAATAAAGAAAAGACATAGAAGTCTATTCTTATCTCTGAGTCCCTCGCTGAGAGGCTCACATATCATTCACTTTATATTATATATTACAATAGAGTGGTCCTCTAAAGTTTGTATATGCAAGTTGCTCAACTAAATATCCCCCCTTCTCCCCATTCTCTTAAGTTTAATTCGTGAGTAGATAGTAGAGAAGTAGAAGATGATGATCCTGGTTATATTTTTCCACAGCTTTCTTGAACTTTCTTTTTCATTTCCCTTCTTTTAAAGCCAGAAAAGTAAAAATCTCTAACTTTTGCCTAGAAACAAAAAAAAAGCTCAAGAAAGCTGTGGGAAAAAATGACAATTCAGGGTTTTCTTCATTGATTCAAGTGTCAGGTTCTTTTAAAGGCACTAATTTTATCATAATTTGAAGTTATGTTTACGCTTACCCTTTCCTCCTAAATTGAAGACATTTTTTATGAAAATAATGTTATTTATGTGGCTCGTGATTTGGTAACTTTAAGTATAGGATCTGTTTACTGGAAAGTAGATAAGAGATTATATGTGTGTCTCAAATGCAGGATACATATATATGGGCAATCTGATAATTTTGTACTGAAAATTGCCAAACTCTATACAACTTCTCATTTCCCGTAATTCTTTTCATATTATTTTGATTGAATGTAAAATTTTATTCAATAGCCATTTTTCAACGATTGCAGCCAATTGATTATTTTGTACATTGTCTGATTTTGAGTTTGAGTTCGAACTTGAGGTTAATTCTTTCTGAATATCTCTAGTCGGGACACTGATTATTTGCATTTCTTATTATTAAGTCTAGGTTTCCCTCTTAACCATCATGAATTCATGATAAGGATATATACTTTGAAATGTCTGTATATGAAATTGAGGAACGAAAAGTTGACCTGAATTTGCTTTTATCAACAAAGAAGAAGAGGAAGAAAGCTTCCTGGGCTTCCTGTTCTGTACAGATGAGCTTTGTACATTTCTGTTGATATATGTTTTATCTGACGTCATTCTAACCACTCCACCTCATTCGTTATGTATAATGGTTACTGCTTTTGGGGTCAATTTTATATCTATGCACATGTCCCCCATGTGATTGTTTTTTCGTTTACATATAAACATCTCGTTGTATATATTAGTATAAGCGCGGGTTTTATTTTATTCTTCGCATATGATACTTGCATCATCCAAACTGTGTATGATACTTGGACTTGGACATCACCGAAATTGTGTGATCACATGTAAATTTGTACATAAATATACATACGTTATATGTGCATTCATTACATAGATGCACTAAGACATGGGCACAGGCCCGGCCCTACAAAAACAAAGGCCGGAAGTTCAAAAAAAAAAAAGGCCTCTCGGTAGTGTTGAACCTGTCACCTTGAGGTGAGTTAATAGCTAATTTGACCATTTTATCTACTTGCACACTTTAGAAATAGGCTGAAATATTGATTATTTTATTGAGAGCCGGAATCGGATGCTTCTAATGCTTATGTCCAGGGCCACTACTGCATGGGCATTTCATGAAGATAATGAACTGTCAGTGTAATTTAAACTTGCTCATTTTTCCTTTAATCAAACTACCATGAGAAAATTCCATAAACATACCCCATCTAAATTTTGTTAAATGTTTTGATACCCAAACTTTTTTACTATTCATTTTATTACTTTAACTAATTATTTTTGCTTATTTGTATACATTTTAATACATTGCTTTTTTACTATCCATTAGTTTTCTATCCACTTGCTCATGTTTCTTACAGTAATCTGATCATTATCAATTGTTTGTTCACAAAACTGAAATATTATATATTTCATTGACACTTTCAATTCCGAAATTAGTTAAGTACTCCAATTTTGGTAAGAAATTAAATACTTCTTTTTTGGATTTATTGTTGCCATATTTTGATTCTTCGATTGAATTTTATACATGTATACCATATATATATTAATTTAACTATATTTTTCTTTACTAAAACGTTAAATTTATTTAATAGCCAACAAATGTTACAAGTTGGTCTATCTTGCTTTTCCATACGATTTGCAAGAAAGTTTCGAAATAAGAACAAGTCTTTTTTTTTGGGTCAAATAATAACAATTCTTGAAACTTACAATATTAAGCTGGTTTTCCAATTACTTTATATTATGTCACTTTAGAACCTCTGACGAGCTGAGATGCTTGGTGAAACAGATGAGCTGAGGTATTAACTATGTTTAATTTCTTTTTGGTAAAACTATACATGCTTATTTGTGGTACTATAATAAAAAAATTACTTGAAAATTGTGTATGTAAAATATTCTGACAATCTCCTAACCACTGAAACATCAAAGAAGCCTACACTGTAATATCATTTGTTATAAGATAATTAGGGCATCTCCAACCCAACTCCATTTTTTACTCCATAATCACTTTTACTCCATTTTGAAAGAAAAAATGGAGTTTTACATTGGAGATGCTCTTAGTCCTCGCTTGAAACACTCTTAAGCAAAATATATAAAGGAAAACGAAAAAGATGTTGAAAATAAAACAATTAGAAATATATTAGGGCAAAAATTGATAAACTGAACATGAGGCATCAGTCCCAGTATATTTTTTTAACAGTTACATCGTACTTGATTCCGAGATTGTTTCTTACACATGTGTTAAAAGGAATACTGATAATAACTGATGAATGAGATCTGAATTATGTATAGTGATTATGAATTATTCAAAACTAGTATATATCCCGTGCTCCGCACGGACATGATCAATATAAAACTAAAATGAATATAAAATATAAGATAATTTTCTTTTCAAAAATAAAAATTATTAGATATGAAAATTCAGGGAAAACATCATTCTTGCAAAAATACAACTAAAATAGTAACATCATTCCAGTAGTCTTTTTATTCTTCTCTTGTATATTAATTTCTTTCTCTTTTTTCTTTCTTCATTTCCATTGTTATATTTATTTTGAAACTTTTTTTTATAAAAAAATCTGAAAATATTAATATTATATAAGTAATTAAAATCAAAAGTGTATATTGATCAGAAATTAATTTCTATAAGATTACAAAACATCCAACCTCATATTTGGTTTGAATGATTTAGAGAATAAACGTGAGTCTCGTTTCTACCACCGTTTCTTAATATTCAAAATTTGCCTTCTAGTTATCACCCCACCATTTTTTTGCTTAGTGCTTCTAAAATGTATTAGGAGTCTTGTAAATATGCTTTAAGATGAGTTTCTAAACCTTCATCCTCGAATTATCATCACCACAGCCAATAAACATTCCCTACCAAATCGATAATTAATTTAGTATACTTTTAAAATCATACTGATCAAATGTATAATGATAATTATTATAAGTATGTTAGAGGAGATAAAGATTCATAAAAAAATCAACATCAAATTATGATTGAAGAGTTTGGAAATATTTAGTTTCACTAACCTGGATTTAATCATCTGCCAACCTTTCACTAAGCACCACTAAAAGTGTGTTTTTCCTTATTTCTTGAAAAAGTTCTCTTGAAGAGCATCATCAAAAGTCATCGATCTGTATGGTTAGAAAGGATCAATGGAGAAATTGCAAAGAATTAAAGAAAATTATATTGAACGCATGTAGAGATTAACTTTCTCAAAAAAGAGGAAACAAAATTGCATGTACAGATGAACTAATAGGATCGTGAGTCAAACCTTATACATGAAGAGTAGCAGTTATATAATCGTGCGTGATCATGAAGTAGTGGGACAAATATTAGGGATTTCTGTGTTATCAAAATTTTAATTTTATATTATTTTTTTCTGCAATTAAGTTTTTCTTTTTTATTTTTCTTTAAATTATTAAACATATCCATGTGTCAAAATCTGATTGGTAATATGACTTGTGCTTTAGTATATAACTAGAGTTTCACCCGCACATCCGTGCGGGTATATTTTTTATTTTATAAATATATAAATAAATTTTTTTAATATATGATTTATATTTTAGTTTTAATTATAATCATATCTAATAACGAAATAAAGAAATACTTATTTTATAAAAAATATATTTAAAATTTTTGGTAAGATCTTGTTAGATTTTTTCAATATATTTTGTTATATTCAAATTTATTTATTATTAATGTTCTTATTAGTTATTAAGATATTGTGAAAATCATATATATTTGACTGGTTAATGTAACAATAAAATATGTCAATTAAGTAATTAATAACATGGTGCAACATGACTTCTAAATAGTAGATAAATTTGGTACTTCTCTTTTAATAGAGAAGAAGGATGGTAAAGGGCTTTTGTCCTTTTATTTATTTCTGATAACACCAGATCTGAGGGTGATTGCATTGTTGTGGGTCTTGTTTGTTTTTCACTGATTCCAAAACATTTTGACGTGGAAATTGTTTCATTGGCTAATAGGCTAATAAAATTGGCTAAATGTGAGGGAGAGAGAAAATGGCCAACGCCTTGAAAGTGAAGCTTTTGTCAGTTTATGATCAGTAAGGGAACCTATAGATTCCGATTTCCTTTTGGATCGATGTATAACACTCACTTTATCCAATTATTCATTTAGAACGTTGATGATCCTCTCGACTGTTAAGGAAAAGGTAGGGATTGGAAATTCATATGTATCACAATAAGAAATAACTGAACGATGGCATTTTTCTAGACTGTTAAAATAAAACCTTGGTTCTACTATTTTTAAA